TGGTGGGTGACAGGTATGGTAGGTGACACGGGCATGGTAGATGACAGAGGTATGGTAGGTGACACAGAGGTATGGTGGGTGACACAGAAACATGGTAGGTGACACAGAGGTATGGTAGGTGACACAGAGGTATGGCAGGTGATACAGAAACATGGTTGGTGACACAGGTATGGTAGGTGACACAGAGGCATGGTGGGTGACACAGAGGCATGGTAGGTGACACAGAGGCATGGTAGGTGACACAGGTATGGCAGGTGACACAGAACATGGTAGGTGACACAGAGGTATGGTGGGTGACAGGTATGGTAGGTGACCTTAAAGACATGGTGGGTGACACAGAGGTATGGCAGGTGATACAGAACATGGTAGGTGACACAGAGGTATGATAGGTGACAGGTATGGTAGGGTGACACAGAGGGCATGGTAGGTGACAGGTATGGTAGGTGACACAGGCATGGTGGGTGACACAGAGGCATGGTAGGTGACACAGAGGTATGGGTGACAGGTATGGTAGGTGACACAGGCATGGTGGATGACAGAGGTATGGTGTAGGTGACACAGGTATGGTGGGTGACACAGAACATGGTAGGTGACACAGAGGTATGGTAGGTGACACAGAGGTATGGCAGGTGATACAGAAACATGGTAGGTGACACAGAGGTATGGTGGGTGACACAGAGGGTAGGTGACACAGAGGTATGGTGGTGACACAGAGGTATGGTGGGTGACAGGTATGGTAGGCACAAAGACATGGTAAGTGACACAGGTATGGTAGGTGACACAAAGGTATGGTGGGTGACACAGAGGCATGGTGGGTGACACAGAGGCATGGTAGGTGACACAGGAGGTATGGTAGGTGACAGGTATGGTGGGTGACACAGGCATGGTAGATGACAGAGGTTGGTGGGTGACAGAGAGGTATGGTGGAGGGTGACACAGGAGGCATGGTGGGTGACACAGAAACATGGTGGGTGATACAGGCATTGTAGGTGACACAGGGGCATGGTAGGTGACACAGGCATGGTAGGTGACACAGAGGTATGGTAGGTGACAGGTATGGTAGGTGACACAGGCATGGTAGATGACAGAGGTATGGTAGGTGACACAGAGGTATGGTAGGTGACACAGAAACATGGTAGGTGTCACAGAGGTATGGTAGGTGACACAGAGGTATGGCAGGTGATACAGAAACATGGTTGGTGACACAGGTATGGTAGGTGACACAGGCATGGTAGGTGACACAGAGGCATGGTAGGTGACACAGGCATGGTAGGTGACACAGGGCCATGGTAGGTGATGCAGGTGGCCAGATATGCTGAGATTTTTCCAGATAATTTGATATATCTCGGCATTTCCTGAGTTATACCAATACATTTCAAGACCCATCCATGCCAAGTTATATGAAATTCCGAGTTATCAAATGCTGAGTTATCGAGGGTTTATTGTAGTACTGTACACGCATAAGCTACGTACAAACACTTCCACTACCAGTACTGTACAGTATGTATGTATTGTATAGATTAATAATACATTACCATAATATCTGGTAAGTTTTTATTGAAAACACAGAAGTTATTATTAAATACAGTACAGTGGGGTATGCTATAACGAATCTAATTGGTTCTAGAACCTCGTTCATTATGGGATTAATCCGTTCCAGGCCCCAAAATACAACCACTTAACACTGAAAAAATTATGTGTAAAATGTAAAAAATACGATACTTTATCTTACCTTAGTGTTGTTCAGCATGCAGGACAGGAGGCAGAGGGGGAGGGGGGAGGAGAGAATTATGGAGAAGAGGTGGAAGGAGAGGAGTCATCCTTCCTAGCCCTCTTTGGTGACTGTCTTACAGGCACTTTGTCTGTAGGGTCTTTTGCTACTTTTTTAAAGAAGGAATCCAGGGTTGGCTGCTTCAACCTTGATTTCTGGACCTTCCAAAAGTAGTTCATAACATTGTCATTAAACACACTGATGGCCTTTTCCACAGCACCAACATCAGGATGATAATCCTCAGCAAGCTTAGACAGTTTGCTCCAGCAAAAGAACGCATCCTTGAGCTCTTTGGCTGGAATGATGCGGCTTTCCTCCTTGTCCTCATCCTCCCCTGACTCCTCAGAAGTTAAGCTCCGCTTCAGTGTCTCATTTTCTTCTTTGTGAAGCTCAAGCAGCTCCTCAGTGGACAGCTCCTTACTGTGCTCTTCCACCAACTCCTCAACATCATCTTCATCCACTTCCAGGCCCATGGAATTGCCCAGAGACACAATTTCATGAACAACAGCCTCTTCTTCTAACTCTTCGAAGCCTTCAAAGTCTCTTTGAAGCACACATTCAGGCCACAATGGCCTCCAAGCAGCACAAAGACACCTCACAGTAACCTCTTTCCAGGCTGAGGTAATTAAAAACACAGCATCTGCTATATTGAAGTGACTCTTCCAAAATTCCTTCAAACTAACATCACTGGAAGAAGTGGACACAAAACATTTTCTAAACAGTGCCTTTGTGCACAGCTTCTTAAGTTGGAAATTGCCTGTTGATCCATGGGCTGGATGAGAGGTGTTGTGTTGGGTGGCAAGAAGTGCACAGTGATGAAGTTGAACTCCTCTGGCAATTCAACCATCAAATTAGGAGGGTGGGCTGGTGCATTGTCCATCACCAACAAAGCTTTCAGTGGAAGATTATTCTCCCTGAGGTATTCCCGAACACTGGGTCCAAACACCTCAATCACCCACTCATAGAATAAACTCCTGGTCACCCAAGCCTTTGGGTTTGACCGCCACATAACACCAAGGCGGGTCTTCCTAATGTTTTTGAAAGCTCTGGGGTTTTCTGCATGGTACACAAGGAGTGGCTTTATTTTGCAGTCACCAGAAGCATGAGCACAAAGGAGGGGGGTAAGCCTGTCTTTCATTGGCTTATGGGCAGGGACAGAAGTTTCCTCCTTGGTAATGTATGTACGGCAAGGCATTTTTTCCAAAAAAGTCCAGTTTCATCACAGTTGAATACCTGCTGAGAAACAAAGCCTCCCTCTTTAATCGCATTCAAAAAAATGTCATGGTGTTCCTTAGCTGCTTCCTTATCTGCACTAGCAGCATCACCATGTAATTTATTTCTCCTTCTGAAACCAGTAAACCACCCCTTGGTACCCCTAAACACTGGCACATCACTATCACTTGCACTGGGAGTCTTGACTTTAAGGTCCTCAAACAATTGTCTGGCCTTCTCACAAATTATAGCTTCACTAATGCTATCACCTGCCATTTCTTTCTCCTTTATCCACACTAAGAGTAAATTTTCCGTCTCCTCAATCACATTACACCTTGCTTTGCTAAGTCTAGAGATTCCCTTAGCCACTTGCACAGTTTTCAACTCCTCTTTATTCTTCAAAATCGTACATATACATAGTCGCTTTAGCCATCCCATACTCATCACTAAGTTTTGCAATGCTTGTTCCATCTTCAAGTTTCTTTATGATTTCTTTCTTAGTTTCAAGAGTTATGAGCTTTCTCACTCGCTTTGGACGATTCATTGTTACAATTGTACACTTGTATAACAAAATATTTATACAAATAACTCTATTTCCACATCAAAAGACGAAATTTCAACTATAACAGTGGTGCACTGGCTACACAATGAGACAAAGATGGCGCCTGACGCTCTTGTTGTGGGTCGCGGTACAACAATATTCATGCGCCAGGCGAAATAGTCCCGTATTCATCCGCGTTCGTTATAGCATTCTCAATTTTATAGGTAAAAACGTTCGTTATAGGAATATTCGTAGGAGGATCCGTTCGTTATAGCATACCCCACTGTATATTAATAATGTTTTAATGAAATGTGCTTACAGGAAATACAGTACTTAGGTATATATTAAAAATAAACATTTATAGAATGTATTAATACTGTAGTGCTTAGTGGAAATACTGTACAATATTAGTGTGTTTAACGTTTGAAGAAGCTCAGTATGTTGTTTGATTCTTCATTCTGTAAACATTGTCAGCCTACACACTGAGTCTTGAAAATAATGGACAATGTTCCCAAATACAGTACTACATTGTATTTGAAAAAAGAGACATCCGTTATCAAGAGGGTTTACTGTTTTTAGGGAGGTGAATCTGTATTCTTAAATTTCATAAACAGAACTTATTATGTATAATAAAGATGTAGAGATGTAAGATAAAGTGGAGGCTGTGGGCATTGCCATCAAAGCACAAGGGAAGTGAGTGAAACCTTAAATGACCGCACTGAGGTGCTGGCGGGTGGGACTGGCTTTGCGTTTCTTAGTGTGCCAACCCACAGTGAAATCACAGTGCTGTGGAATTTTCAGTTCCTCGTAGACTATCGTTCAGTTTTCACATAATTCTTTTTTTATATATATATACACTTAGCACTTTACATTTCCTTTTAGCGCTGTTAAACTCAGTTCTATCAGTTTGGTCTTTGTTTGAGGGCTTAGTAGAAGAGAAATAAAATCAATATTAAACAAAGAATACAAAGCACACCCAGCCAGATTCTTGAAACAGCATCATCATGGTCCAAGGCATATGTGACCACAGTGCTCTTGCCATGGAAGTAAAGCATGGGATTTTTTGTCATACAGAATGTATCTCTAAATAATTATGGGGAGTTAATGTTTTACTACAGTATTATAAATATTGTATTATAGATGATGGCTTGTACAGTTCCTCATTAGGATGTACAGGTATAAAAATATTACTGTGCTACACTGCAAATATATAACTTTATTTTGGTTATTATTTTCTTGTAGTCATCTTGTACAGTACACCCAATATATTAAATAAAATCATGTTTTGTAACATTTTGTGGCATTTTAAGTCTCTCTCTCTCAGCTTTTATACAGGGGTAAGCTATGGTAAAATAAACATTGGTTTACAAGAAACCAATTTACAAGAGGTTTTTCAGGAACAAACCCCCTCATATATTGAGGTCTCTCTGTAGAGTATGAATTCTCATATAACGCTTTTTTCTATCTTTTTTGCAGGGGATTATTCTCGACCATTCCAGATACGACAGTTCCTACGTGATCTCCACTCGGCGTACTCTCTCCTTTTTCCTAAAAATGAGTTACGAAAGAAATTTGATGAGCTCAAATACTCATTGAAGAAAACAGAAGAGGTTGTCTACAATTTGTCTCTGCGAGGACTTAAGCCGCAAGATATTGAAACTTCAGGTTAGGAAGCTCTGATCACTACACTGTATTTACCTTAGATGGAAAATATAAGATCTCAGACTTATAGTAACCTGAATGACTTGAAATATTTGTGTTCTAGACTTAAGAATTGTAAACCACCTGTAAATTATTCAAGGTACTGTACTGTATTAGTATTTTTGTATCATAAGGATTCATGTTACATGTATTCATTAACTGGTTAAAAAGAATCACTGTTGTTCAGTATTGACAGTCCACCAGTAGTAGCAGTGATCATGTTTATTTCATGTGTGATGAGAGGACTTACTCATTACCTTTTTTTTACATCACAACTAATGACTTTTTTTTTAATATGGAAATAGTTTGTGGTTGTTGAGGTATTTTAGAGATTTCTGTACTCATCATTTCACCCCACATACACTTGGGAGAGAAGTAAAGATAATAGGTAAGTATATGGACATTTTGTTCATTATGTGTTCATTGAATAAAGAAAATAAAAATCTTATTCCAGTATACAGGGTACTTAGAAAAGTAATATACTGTATGCTTGAAAAAGAATATAGCTACTTATGAACACTGTAACAGTAAGATTTTGAGATGAAAGAAAATACAGTAAATTCTCCCAATACCAGACTAATTTGTACAAGTCCTGTCCCTTATTGGAAGAATTCCCTGAATGGGGGGTTTCCTTTGTGGTTCCTACAGTCTACTGGTCATGGAGTTTTTGTGTTGATTTTTTAGAGAATTTACACTTTCTTTGATACTATGCACTTTGTTCTCTTTTTACACTCCTGCTCTCAATACCACCACTTTTCTGTTTGTTCTGAGACATTTCAAGGGCAATACAGATGGTTGGGATCCACACTAATGTACGTTGAGTGATGAAGAATAATGCAGGCAGTGTGAGCACACCATCAAGTGGGATGCTTAGGCGCTCTTGAGTCTAGTAAGTTTCAACATGCACCATGTGGTCAGTAACAGACAATATTGCTATAACTGGATCTTGCTGTCTGAGTCCACTAATTACCTGACAAAATTCTTGCTTTATTGAAAAACTCCTTTATTAAAAAAGTTTACCATAGCTTTTATGTTAACATCTTGAAAATACTGTACTTTGTTTTTGATGTGTTCAAAGTGCTCATAAATTTTCTACAAGTGATGTAGATTACAGTGAAACCTCTATATAACAGACTTCTCTCTCCATGTGATCCGTTAGTTGGTGTGTTTAACATTTAAAGAGCCTCGATATAATGGACTTTCCCCTCCATATACAGTAGTCTGTTAAATAGATCTTTCACTGTATGGGTATTACTGTACTGTAGATTTGATATAGTACACTGTACAGTCATGCGCCAGTTAACGTCCTAGATACGTTCTTGGAAACGTGACGTTAACCGAAATGGACATTGTCCGATCATCACATAAAACTTTTTATTTATACTTACGTGTATGTGGAATACTATATACGTACATATACACTTTTACTCTTAAATCACTACTGTAATGTGATACAGGTGATTAATTTTTATCTCGTGCAAAATACATGACGTTTATATTAAAATTATTCACTGTTTTACAAGGATTCCAGCAACGCCGAGCAGATGGGGGAGAGAGAGGGTGGGAGCGAGCGAGGGGGCGTGGGGGGAGGGGAGGTGGTACGTTTGACAGTTGGCACAGGTCCAGGTCTAACGCGTGTATATTTATCAGTTCTTAAGTAACTAAGCTTCTCTCTTATAAAAAGCCAGTGAAATGACCTGGGTGAATATAATTAACATAGCTGTGATTCTTGTAACATACTAATTAATTTGAATATAAACATGCTATAATTTGCACTTGACAAAACAATTTTAGTACCGTATTCAAATTAGTACATGTGCACTCCAGCTTTGCACTAAGGTCATGTATTTCTATTACGTTTCTTTTAGTATGGTGTGTGCATGTAAATGGATGAAAATAAATGAAGAAATTTATGGAAATCTACCCAAAAATACAGTTGAAAAACTTTTTATAAAATGTACTACAGTATTGTACACTAATGTACTACATTTTTTATATCTTGAGCAAAATATATGATGCTTATATTCAAATTAATCTCTGTCTTGCAAGGATTTCAGCAATGAAAATTATATTGTCCTAACTTTAGTCTGAGATATTATATAAAATAAACATAAATAAATCACCAGGGTGGGAAGAGGGGGCAGGAGGTGAGGTGACAGAATGTCTGGCGTTTGTTTGTTTATTTGAGATAAGATTTGACAGTTGGCGCTGAAGGCCTGCCTGCGTGTTTATTTATCATTGCTTAAGAGTGACTAAGCTCTTCTCATAATTTGCCACCCAAACGACCTGGGTGAATATAACTTACATTGGAGGGATTCTTGTAAGATAGTAATTTATTTGAATACCTGTATAAACAACCTATATTTGCAATAGACATAACAATTTTAGTACCGTAATCATTTAGTACATGTACAATACAGGTTTGCACTTAGGTCCATTGTTACTGTACAATATTGACTAAATTCACTAGATAACGTACGCCTGGCCGCACAATCTATAAGAATACGAGATGCATACGTGACTGTGCCCGCTCTAGGTACATTTCGGTTCGCTAGGTCCCATTATTTGAATTTTTTTTTTTTTTCAATTTAAATTTTAATTGTTTATTCCTTGATAGAGGAAGCGGGATCCTAGTGCTGTCACTTGGTACCCCTGTACCATAACACCAGAAGCAACTGGCCAGTGTCACAAGTATATACAGTACAGTACAGTCATCCCTTGGTTATCGCGCCTAATTGGGACCCCGCCGATAACGAAGGTACAGAACCTATGGGATTTATTCTAATTGGTTTAGGCACCCTAGACCCAACCCCAAGTTTCCCATTTTATGACCATTTAGACCCATTAAATATATATATAATGTTATGGTAAATATCATAAACACACATAGGCATGGCTAGGTTTATTACAAAGTGATGAAAAGGGTACGCTTAATACTGTAGTCCACAAAACATGCAGCTATGCTTTTTTTATTTGGTCCCCCGTCATACGAGTCCGTTTTCTCTCACATCAGGACGCCTGAGTCCTCCGTTTTCTCTCTTAATCTTAGAGTGCACCAGGAACTTTACTATTTTTAGTAATGCCACAGAATTTGAAATTGCAACCCCAATTGCAACTGGGGTTGCAATTGTTGAGGCAACTAGATATGTCTGATTACAGCAAATGTGTTATTGTCAATTTGTAGGTGAAAGATTTGATCCTCAATAGATGTTGGTTAACATTTCACCCGTAGGCAAATGCTTAAAAAAGCCTAAGTAAGGAAGCATATTCCTTTAACACATAATATCTGACCAGTATGGGGGAGGATCATCGTGTCTCCGTCAGGGGGTCGTGGAGTGGTGGTCCAGCAGGCGTCACAGTTTTTTTTTGGGGTGGGGGGGGGGCCACAGACGTATATGCAATAGGACTTTGTTCAGTCGGACGTTAACCGGCGCATGACTGTACTATTTTTATTTTTTTTCGTGTGTGCATGCCTGACTATTTGCACATACAGGTAATCCAAATTTTGAGGCCCATAGATGCTCTATGAATGTACAGTAGTATTTGGTAAACACACACAAAACATACACTCTCAAATGCTTCAACTTTGAATTCCTGATATGGCCTGTAGTACAACTGGTATATAATTTTTACTTCTTTTTTTTCAATAACCGGTACTGATGAGCTTTTGTGCACCATTTCATCAGGAAAGGCATAACATTAATGAATATGTAGATTGATAGATATGAACTTATGAGTCCAGTACACAGATAAATTAATCAGTGCTAAGACCATGTTATTTACACTTACATGTAAATTTGATGCTCTGTGAAACTTTTGGTTGTCCTAGATTTTTCTTTTTCTCATTTTGTATGTGTGTGTATGTAATAGTAACACTATACTGTATTGGTGTGTTTTCTGTAAATCTGTCCCATACCTGTGACTGCACTGAATTTCACACCTGTTCAAATTACTATGTGGTATTATAATTTATTCTTTTGCATAAAAATAGATGGAGGGTTTTTATATCGCCCTTTAACAGTCTGAACATTTTCTGAAATGAATTCCAGTTATATGCTCTAGTCAACCAATATTTTGCAATCTTTATTTGTTGTAAATGTTAATATTTTCCTAGAAAAAAAAAGATACTGTTTACAGTGGACCCTTGCCACATGCGGGTTTGCGATTCGCGATTTTGACGATAAGCGGTAAGCAGATGGTGGCTAGCTTGCGAGCCTTTTCCCGCAGCGCAATGAGTCACCCCACGCGCCCGCAGCGTCTCTTCTCCCTCTGTTCGCTGTCAACCATTGCCTATTGTACTCTCAAAACTTTAGAGTTTCTGTGTGACATGGCCCTTAAAAGATTGCTTAGTGTCAGTGCTAGTGATGTAAATGAGGTGAAATGTAAAAGGCAGAAGACAGTGATGACCCTAACAAAGAAAGTTGAATTATTAGATAAGTTAAAAGAGGGGATGAGTGCTGCCACGACTGGTCAGTTGTTTGGTATAGGTATTCAGTAGTGCACTAAGGTAGTATAAGTTGCTATTCAAGGTTTTTCCTATTTGCGCCATTCCTTGGAACCTAACCCCCGTGAATAACAAGGGTTTACTGTACTGTACTTCATGTGTCATCTTGACAGACTTCATTTGAAATACTTGTTGTATTTGAAGAATATTTTCCTGTTAGAATTAGGTTCCTCTTTGTGGGATTGATTCATCCATGAAAGGTGAAGGAGAGTTAACTGTTGTACTGGCAATCCCCGGGTTACGAACAAGTTCCGTTCCTGGGGACATTGTTGACTCGAAATGCATGCTATGTGCATATTGTACTTACAGAACAATGTTTAAAATCCCCCTATATCATAGCCTAAGTCATTATATACTTGACAAAATACAGTAAATGAAAGTGAAAAATAAGTCATCAGATAAATAAAATACTATAAATTTAAAGTTTCGCCTCGTTCATATTGGCGGATGCTTGTAAGTCGGACGTTCGTAACCCGGGGATCGCTTCCATACTGCATAATGAGTTGTGCAACTAACAGGATAACAATAACTGTCAGCATATCCTGTGAAGTCCAAAATATTGTTGCATTATACTTTGGTATTTATTTTTGGTGTTGGGAGCGGTGACTGGCATTATACCTAATGTATAAGAAGAACCCCCTCTGGTTACTGCCTGCTAATCATTCACTCACCACATCCAAATTTTGCCTTGTTAATGTGAACCATTCTTGAAAACACTTGTTCCACAATTGATTGTTCACTGGTATGGAAACTTTTTTATTGGAAGTACTGTGGAAACTGAAAACTGTACTAAAAAATACTATTGGATATTATAATTGTTTAAGCCTTTTCCCACTTAATTCAGGTTGTTGGAAACGAGCAAATGCACACACATATTCTCTTTTCAGTCATTGTCATTCATTCTTACTGCTGTAAAATATATATTTTGCTACAGTAGAAGTGTCTCTCTTTTATACTGGGATTGTGTTCCTAGAAAAGGTTGGTTTCAGAGAAATTGGTATGAATGAATGTGGGTTTCAAAAAAGAAAGGGGTATTACATTCACAGCCAGTCTCTTTTGACAGTGATTTTGTACTGTATCAAGATTTCATGTATTCACTAATCACAATTTAAATGAAATTTATTGAATCATCACACATTTATAGCTATTTTCCAGATTTGCATGGGTTAGCCATGATTACATGGCCCATTTGTTGCTTCACGCATTTGAGATAATGTCCACATTCAATTATAATACAAGTTGCAATGATTCCCTGACCCATTGGCTGAATTAAAAAAGTGGTGTTGGGTGGCGTAAACATAATCCAATGAGTAGTCTACAGGTCATTTGGGTGAGGAGAGCACCCAGGACATTATCTAAGAGAAGTAAGGTATTGAAGCATGTTAGTCATGTTCCATCTCTACACAGAAACTGCCCACAAACTAGTTAAAAAACAAACTACTCAGTCTTTTTTTTATTGGTTTGCTAGTGAATGGGTAGGTTTATGGTTGCTAAGACCCTGGAAAGCCCGGAGATTCTGTGAATAGTGCATAAATAAGCTTGCATTCCGGTGGTTTACAAGATATTTGCCCAAAATGCATTTCATGCAGAGAAGACAAGAAGTGTGATGCACAGCCATGTCTGTATTAACCTTAGTTCAGTACAGTATTAACAAAACTTAGGCAGTAAAAATTTAACTTGCAAATGTTCAAATTTGGTTCATGTGAAGCTTTCATAAATTGAGGGCAATCTGTAGTTCCCCTCCACAAAAAGGCCTCAAATCTAGTTTACCTCTATTCACACAAATATGCAACACCCATCAGTAGTATGTCCTTCCCTGATAATTATTCAACTTCCCAATCACCTAATTCACGGCTATT